TTTATATTTGGAAGCCGCCTAGAGTGGTCCGGTGGGCCAGATAGGCAGGGTATAAATTAATTAAATAAATAAATAAATAAATAAATAAATAAATAAATAAATAAATAAATACCATTTTTAAATGTGTGAACAATTTAAAACATAATGTAACTAGTATTATGTATTGAGCCTATTTTTAATTGAAGTGAAACCTTTGTTAAATGTCAGTGTTAACATCTGCTAAATACAAAACTTTGTTATTTGCAGGATGATTATCCACTGGCTAGTTTACCCCTTCTTGGATACTTAAATGTGTGAACAATTTAAAACATAATGTAACTAGTATTATGTATTGAGCCTATTTTTAATTGAAGTGAAACCTTTGTTAAATGTCAGTGTTAACATCTGCTAAATACAAAACTTTGTTATTTGCAGGATGATTATCCACTGGCTAGTTTACCACTTCTTGGATACTCAGTCAGCATCCCTGTGGAGGCAGATGGCATTCAGAAGGATTATGTCTTCAAACTTCAGTTTAAATCCCATGTCTATTTCTTCAGGGCTGAAAGCAAGTATACCTTTGAGAGGTAAATGTGTTTCCTAAACCTAATACATGGAATGAACTACTTGCCCCAAGTTGTCTTTTTGAGGGTGTTTTCTGTTCAGTGTCCTGCTAAAATTTGAAAGATGGCAGTCCTGCTTTCTCTTGGCTATTTCTGCATTCTGCGATAAGACTAGCTGTTGATAGATTCTCAAGTCAGCTAAATCTATCTGAAGCCAAGTAGTGCTAGGATAAAATTAGTCCAAATAAAAGTTTTCCGTTTAAGGAAATATGCAAATCATATTGTGGCAGATATGAAAACAAAATTACACAAAATTCTGTAAGCAATTTTGCCTCTTTATTCTGTTACATACCCCTGCATCCACTGGTCACATAAACAATCACTTGGCAGTGCAACAGATGGCAAGTCAGGATCAAAACTGTAAGCAGGGGTTTAATGGTCAACCTGTCAGGGACATTTTAAGTATGGATTTTAGGCATTGGCAGGGGGCTGGACTTGATGATCTATGGGATCCCTTTGAGCTCTAAATTCTATTACTGTGGCCTCAAATAATGTGGATATCAAATAGGATATCAGTTAATGTATTCAACACTGACTTTGATCCTTGGGCAGAGGATCTGTGTCTCTTTTCTAGCACATCGATATGGAAACATCAAAGTCAACAGTTATAGTTAAAAGATGAAATTTTCATTTTGGCTTTTATGAGAGCAAATTCAAATTATCAGCTGTGCTTGTTTGTTTATTTATTTTATACCCCGCCTATCTAGTCACTTAAGACCACTCTAGGCGGCAGATGCCTACTTGATGCAGCAAAGATTGTTGGGAAGAAACATTTGATTTATATGCCAGACTTGCTTGGTTGTTCATGCAAATTCATGGTTGTACCAGCTCCTTCTGAAATATGTGAGACAAGAAACCTTGCTGGCCATAAGATAATTGGAATTTTTAAAAAATTACTTGAGTCGTGTATCTCCTTCTCATTCTTTTCAAAGATGTTGCCATGTTAGTCTGCTGCAGCAAAACAACACTGTGGCACCTTTAATGCTAAAAAATAAATCATATTATATGTATGCTATATCAGCACAAGAGAAGGACCATGAGCTATCGGTTCACTTCTTTATGGAGACATTTGTTCCCACTTCGATATTCTGCCTGCATGATGGAAATGAACCTAGCAAAAGATGAAGTCTAATATTCTTGACAAGAAGTACTTGATAACACATTCAAGGAATAATCAGTAAGCTTGGAGGTGTTGAACGTGATTTTTTTCTGTCTTGACAGGTGGATGGAAGTGATAAAGAGAGCCACAAGTTCTCCTGGAAGATCCAGCCTCCTCATCCCAAAAGGGGAAAAAGAAAAGATCACAAACTGAAAAAAGCAGAGCTGGGTCTCCGTTAAGTTATTTTGCAGCATGGTGGGGGATGCTGGGAAGGAGTCTGAACTTGATAGTAATAAAATGAGATGCCATCTGTTACCTGCTCTGGCCAAGTTAGTGTCCTCATGGAAGCTGATGATTTTTGTTGGAGTATGAAAATCAATCTTATTCAAAGGGGGACTGCAAAGCCTCTGGAGAACTCCATTTGTGCAAAAACTGCAGCTGCTCAATTTGTGTCTAACACTTTTTTTAAAAAAATATACCATTAATAGCAGCTGTTGGTCACATGTGGCTGACCTTAAAACTTCTGGCTTTCAGATGGCTTCCTTGGACTTGCTAATGCTCAAGTCCTGCTAAATAATCTTTGTGCAATTTGTTCTTTCAGTCTACCAGCCATACATGCCTCACATGCTGCAAGCTATGTTCATATTACTCTTAAAGTTGGAATTTCTCCTTGTTGTAAAATGGAGGACTTCAGAAAAATGCCAAATGACAACTTTCACCTCTTTACATCCCTGGAGTTGACATGGTAGCTGGTTGTTGCTTGAAGTGGACTGATGGAAGAAGAGAGCTGTAGTTAGTTCAAGAGCTTACACAGACAATTCTTAAGGATGCTAAAATAAGGATAATAAGTCTTTGAGTGCACCTCCATCATTACTTCCATTACAGTTAACATTCTAAATGCTCTCTATCCTGATGTTGTACTCTACAGGTTTCTTGTAATGTGTGCTGTTCTGGGGCTTTTGAGCAGCAACAGCTCTGGTGGAAAAGCTTTTTTAAAAACTCTTAAATGTATAATAGATGACCTGTTGCAGAAGAAGAAATAGCTTCAGAATTAAACCCACTCATCAGCAAAATTATCTGTTGCTGTTTGTGTGTTAAGTACATTGTACTTTTTTAAAAGCTTGGGGCACTAAAACAGAATATTTGTGATTATTAACCTCAAAATCATTAATAGCGATAATGCATTAATGATACTTTGATGTAAAGGAATAAAGAAGAGTAACTAGTCTAAGATACAGTCAGGGATGTATAATGTGAGAACCAGTGCATTCATGTTTTCCAGAGAACATTGTTCTATAATTGAGATGACTTGTTTAAATTAGGTACTGTACAACTGCAATATAGGAATAACAAATCCTGTCAACATTGGTCACTTCTTTAACTTCAGATGACTTCTAAAACATGGGTGCTGAAACTATCCACTGTTTTTCCTCACCTTAAAAATATGTGGTTTATGCTTTCTCCATGGCACAGACCAGCAGTTAATCATTTGAAAATACACAAATAGCTTTGCTGGCCCATGGAGTAAACCTCCAAAACACTACAGTTGTACAGTATCTTTATTAGGCCTTTGTTGCCCTTGGATAGCAATGGAAAGTAGTTTGTTGGTTTGAAGAGGGTGATCATAATGTTTTTCCTCATGTTTTGCTATACTGAACTGTGTGGTGATGGGTAGTGTGTTTTAAAGGAAACAGGATAAGGCAAAACAGTATTTATATATTTAACATTGCTTTTGTTGTATGGAAGTCTGAAGGGAGAAACTGGGAGGAATTCAGGACCTTTTATTATTCTTGAAATGGATGCAAAAGTTGTTTAGTGCTAGATCAGTCTTCAGGTAGAAAAGGTGGGGTTAGTAACCCACATTAGATGTTAAAGGGAAAATTTCCTCTTTGTTTGACATCCTCATTCATAAGCTTCAAAGTGCTAAACACTTTTACTATAATGGCCATTCAATATAAGTTATATGTATTTTTTATTTATTAGTGTCTGTTTTGAAAATAAAAGTGTTATAGATATCCTTATACTACTCAGTCATAATCAATTCTTATCCTACTGAATATTTAATAATTGAAAATTACTATAGCTCTCTCAAAAATACTGCAACATTCTCATTTTTTTTCAGATGCATAGTGTGGTTTACTCTTCTGATTCTAGAAGGTATTTTTTTGTTTGTAGCCCTGAAATCAGATTGCAAGTTCTCTTTGACCACCCAAAACTATGTATGAAGTGTGGCTGATCTGCAAGTGAATGCACACCATTTTGGGCAAATTACAAAACATCACTAGTGGGAATCCTATAGCAAACATCATTGCCCTTTAATCAGTGTCATTGAAATAGTCAGATCCTATTCCCATAGAGAAACTTTAACTTGGCTTGGTGCTTCTAGTAATAATGTATAAACACACACAACATTAGCTTTTAACTTGACAACTTAATTTTATTAGAAGTGGCAGATCCCTCTCATTACTCATTTGAAAAATTAAGCCATTGCTGCTTTGAATACTGGAGAGATACTTCTGAGAGCCTTTAGCTGACAGTCAGAGTTGAATAAGGTCTTTTTCAATGACCTTAACAAAATAGCAGTTTCCTGTTTTCCTTTTCTACAAGGTTCCCACCTATGTTGTGAACAGTTGTGGGTTAGGAAAAGAATAATTCATCTTTCTACCTATGTTTTGTACTCAGCCATGAACCAGATAGCAGGAGCAGCTGCAACTGTTAAGATACTTCTCCAATATAATGTATATATACCAATACAGTGCATACTCCATTAGTTTTTCTGTAACAGTTTGTACAGAAGGTGTAGAACATTCCTCCCTGCATCCACCCAATACCTGTTAAATAATACCTGGGGAGGACAACTTTCAATGACAAAATTGCTCTATAGATTCTGGAAAAGATGTTTCAAAATAGCAGTGTTCAGTGTATGTTACTGCTCTGATTCTCTTGGTTGTGCAGAGGAAGAATACAAATCTGTTTGGCAGTGAGGGGCAGAAACCCCACTGTGGATTCTTCCTCTCCACCTTCCTAGAATGGACCCTTTGCAGTGAGTATATCCAGCATTCCAATCTGCTACATTGCTCCTGAGGAGGAAGGGCAAGTTGAAATTTCCCAAGTTGAAGGTATTAATGCTCAAGTAGAACCAGAGATAATGGTCATTAGCAACTCAGATAACAATACTGTTCAAGTATAAAATGGAACAATCCATTAAGGAGAAATATGGGATGTGTTTAACAGTGTCACCTAGATTCTCCAACTTCTGGCACCACACATGTTCTTCCATTTAACTGAAAACCTAATTTCACAAAATAGCAGACATCTACAAAGTTGAATACTTTGGGCAGAACTTCCCTCTCTATGCTGCAAAACGCTTAAGAATGTAGCTTCTTTCCTTTAAAAAAAACAATTGCACAATACTCTGCCAAAATATTTGACTTGGATAGGAACATAAGCGTAATACTGAGCATCTATATTCAGGATGCTAAGTAGCAGCAAAAGGCCTTGGTGGATTTGGGAGTGCATCTTCTCCAAGCTATTGCTAGCGAAGAGCTCAGCAGCAGTCAAACCTGTCCTGTCAAAAAAGGACAGGTAGACAGAAGAAAGAGAAGGCAAACTTTACCTGTCTCAGCAACTGCAAACCCAGTCCTCCTGATCTCTTAGCTGAAAAGGGACTTAACATTCTCTTGAGTAGCACTAGCATATCTGTGCCCCTTTAACTGGGTGATGAGAGTCCTTCCTTACTAAACGATATTCTCACATATACTTTACCAATGGCTGGACCAGGGAACTGCCACAGTCCCATTTCCTTTATGGAATGTGTTTGTCTATGAATTTCCATTTTCCAGCAGTCAGGATTTTGTGTTGGAACAAGGTCTGACCTGAGAAAAATTGGATATAATTAAAAACTTCCATGAAATATACTGTAGAAATTGCCCCTCTAGGGCTCTGCAAATAGTCCATGATCACTTGTGTTGCAAATCCAATCCTGGATGGTCATGAAAACACACACACAAAGGCTGTAAAATGTCTGGGAATCCATAGCACAATGTTAAACATCCAACGCAGAGATGGTGATGGATTCAAGACACAGTTCTTTATGGAGCTGAGGAGGAATCACCCTTCCTTCAATGAGTAACAAAGAGCAGACTCTTCAGCGGGCTGAAGTCAAATGGTTCTTGCTATGTGAGAACCTGAGGAAGTGAGAACAAAGTTTTTAAGGCTCCTTCATTGTGAATAAATATATGCTTTATGAATTTTCTTCAAGCATAAAAATGAATGAGCCACAAAAAAAATAATAATAATAAGCCTCAGCCCGAAATACCATGTCATGCTTAACCAGAATTAAGTGATCTAGGTAACTGGCCACTTGTTGGTTCTGACTTGCATATACAACATGAATTCAGATTTCACTCTTCTATGAAACGTTGGAATTCTAGAAAGCTGACTTTAAGATCAGGTCTGAGATCTACACCACCCAACTATACCCTAGTTCCAACAGTAGTGTTAGAAGAGAACATATACAGGGATAGGACATGGTTTTGCTACCCATCTCAGCACTAAGTTAATCTGGTCAAGTTAACCATCCTAAGCACTTTTACCTTTGCACTCGCTCCACCATGTGTGCAATTAATTTGTCAGAGATTCCTGGACAAGACTCCTCGGCTAAACCAAAGGCATTCTCCAGTTCCTCCATGGCTCCTACATTACCTCCAGTCTGCTTGTGCTTGTCTTTAAGCTGCCAAGAAATTAGTCAGAAATTGGTTTGGAATAGGAGAAAGGTCTAAGCTATAGCAACACAAAATTACTACTGGTTATTTTTGGTGAGGGCAACAGCATTTAGTGGTATTGTTATAATGAAGTACATCCCCCCTCCTTCACATAACTATAGAACACGGGCATGTCTAAAATAATCTAAGTCTGCAGTACTAAACATGCTTCTTTGAGACTTTTAGTTAAATAGAATAGTGTGCAAGGTATCATTTCTTTTAGGCAGATGCTGGAATGTCATATCAGAGAAATCACTAAGCCATCCCACACTATTCTTAAATGTCTCCAAACGCTTGCATCATTTAAGAATTTATGAAATAATGAGAGCTGCTGGGATGCTGGCAGCCCCTGCTAGGAAGCACATTACTTTATTGGCACACTTAAGTCATTTCTAAATCCTGCTTAGCAAATTGAAAGCATTAAGGGAGGACAACTAGATCCACTTGGAGCATACAGGGACTAAGGACCACACTATTTATTTTGATGTTGAGCATCCTTATTTATACATTCATTTCTCACCATCTCACCCTATTCAGTGCACTGTGTATTTTCTGTTGTATACTGTCATGATATGTTATCTATTTTGCACCAGCTGAATCAGCTGCCATTGGTTTTCTAGGTTCCATTCAAAGTGTTGGTTATTACCTTTAAAACAAAGGTTCCCAAACCCTGGTCTGCAGCCCGGTGCTGGTCTGTGGCCTAAGCCAAATCGGGCCACGGAGACAGACCTCCCCCGCATCCCCGCCCGCACTCCCCCCGTACAGCCCCTTTGTGCATGCGCACACACGTGTCTGTGCCCATGTGAACACTCCCCCATCCCTTTGCACACGCGCAGAAGTGCCCCTGAGCGCCACGCCACCCTTTGTGCATGCGCATGAGCGCCCTCCCGCTCCTTCACACATGTGCGCAGGGAGTGCCCAAGCTTCCCTAACCAGTCCGCAGGGTTAAAAAGGTTGGGGACCACTGCTTTAAAGTATTACATGGGTTGTGACCCATGTAATTACTGTGCCACCTCCATTCCAATTGAGTTAATCTGGAACTACCCTTCTAAATGTGCCAACCATTAAAAGCTGTCCAGCTTGAATGTACTAAAATATATATATATTTGCGCTGCTGCCCCTGTGTTTTGGAATTCTTTCCCTGAATCCCTGCAAAGTGTGACAACCCTGCAGGGATTCAGAAGGGGATGTAGGGCACAGATGTGTTGCTGGACTTTTGGATGCAAGGAACTTCTATTTATGTGGGTTCATTATATGGTAGCATATATAAGATAATGACAGGGAAAAATTTGATTTGAAATATGTGTCCTAGAGCAAATCAAGGCTAACTATTTCTGGAGATAAAAATGTTGAAACTGAGGCTGTCCTACTTTGGCCACATCATGAGAAGACAGGGTTCTCTGGAGAAGACAATAATGCTGGGAAAGGTGGAAAGCAACAGGAAAAGAGGGAGACCAAATATGAGATGGATTGGCTCCGTAAAGGAAAGCCACAGGCTTGAGTTTATGAGAGCTAGACAGGGCAGTTGAGGACAGGACATTGTGGTGGTCACTCCTTCATAAGATTGCTGCAAGTCAGAGGCAACTAAACAACAATACAAGATAAAATTATCTAGATTGTTGATAATTTTATTGTGTTTCATCATCTATGTGAAGTATTTTATTGTGCATAGTATGTATGTAATGGCTTTGTGGTGTTTGCCATTCTGGGTTCTTCAGAATGAACCAGGGCATATAAATTAAATTAATACAGCCCCAAATAATTTCCAAATACAGTACTGAAATCAAGATAATCAAGGCAGGTTTAAGACAGTAAATTTTGACTGCACTAGTTGAGGTTTAACAGCAGGTATAGACCAACTTATTTATCAAAGTTTGCACACACACATAGGTAGTACAAAATACAGCAACCCTATTCCACTGAAACACAGGGCTCAGCCACACAGTTAAAGTTTATCACAGCATGGGTTTCCCACCTACGACACAGTATGTGACCTGTAATCCCTTATTCCATTCTAGAATTTAGACTATAAAATATGCTTTGCTTCAGTCAGACTGCACTAAATGATTCTCTCAAAAGATTACAAAAACAAAACAAAAGTCATGAGTTGTAAATGCAATCTGTGTGTGTAATCAAAAGACTGCCTGGTTTAGCAACTCTCCCTTCCATCAACTGTACAAATAAATGGCTTTTACCTGTCCTCACAGAGCCTGGCTTATAATCCAAGGATCAACCTAGTTGTCCTTTCCTGAATTCAAGCTGCCTCCCACACTGCAGGATACAGAGCAGGGCAAAGCCTAATGCTCGTGGTCTGGAACAACCATGAATATTACCCATCCCCCTGGTGGAAAGAATTTATTTTTGCTAGAGAACACAGAACAGCATCCAGCTTAAAGCCACATAAACCATTAATGGTTCATACTCATGTATTCAATTATTAGGTGAGTTCGGTTGCACCAGCTGCTTAACTGGATTCTGCCTTTTCTCTTTGAGAAACTTGTGCATTAGACAACACATCACAGTCCTGAATAACTACAGGGTCAAAATGCAAAGCCCTTTTGAGGTCAATTCAATTCCACTTTCTGCAACAAGAAAACTGATACATGAAATGATGAGCATTGCTGGACTGCAGTCGTTCCACACTTGTCAGTTACACACATCTGTCATTGTCTTAACACCCTCAACCCCAAAAGTAGGATTCAAAAGAGACAAACTAGATCTGATGGAGCAATTGTGGACATTACTCTGCCGGCTCACACATAAGTTTTTGTACAGAACTTCTTTTTTAACTATTCTGGGAAACAAAACACTCTGCCAGCTCACACGTAAGTTTTTGTACAGAACTTCTTCTTTTTTAACTATTCTGGGAAACAAAACTCTGCCTCTTCCCCTAAACTTCTTTGTTTGAAGCAGTATTCTCTTAGCCTACCAAGCAGGACTAGGGAGAAAGCTGCTTCAAAAATGTGAAGCAAGCTAAGGTGGAAACGGTGTTCCCCTTATTTGCACACATCATTTCATGTTAACTTGCCTGTTCCTCTATTGGTTTTTCCTTGTGTAAACGGAACACACGATATGTGGGTGGAAATCCACCATGTCAAGTGTTGCCCCAAGCTGCTCCATCCTGCCAAGTTTTGCCCCAACTTGTTTAATATGAGTCACAACTGTTTGTGTATCAGATGCAAAAAGAGAGGTGGAACCCAGGAAAAGGTGTAACTTCATTGTTGCATGGCTTGGCAAAGCAGCCAAAGCTGAGATGCCACTGCAAACAATGAAATACAAGCATATAAGCAGAAAATCTCATTTCTCCCTATAGAATCACACACTCAACCTGTTCTCCAGCTCCTGATCTCTATTCTTTTATCCTAATGTCCTTTGTTTCTTAGTGAAACACATCACATTTTATAAACAGCTATAGGAAAAGAAGGCCGACCCCTGCCTCACCTCTCCAAAGACGGGACGTACAAGAGTAGAGAGAGACTGTGACCGTGGTTGCCGCTTTATAGGCTCAGCAGGCTAGAAACAGAAAAAGGAAGCTTGACAGTCAGTGTTATCCAGGCCAGTCCTATCTATTGAATTTCCTTGAAAATAAGACAGGGTCTTATATTCATTTTGTTCCAAAAAAACACATTAGAGCTTATTTTCAGGGGATGTTTTATTTCACAGTCATGTCATCAGGTCATCTGGTTGCTGCACAATGGTGGAGGGCGGGGTTTCACTTAACTGGGGCTTATTTTGAGGGTAGGGCTTATATTACAAGCATCCTGAAAAATCATACTAGGGCTTATTTTCAAGTTAAGTCTTATTTTCAAGGGAAACAGGGTATTTGAGTCTTCCTCTATAATCCCCCCCCCATGTTCTGTACTGGTAAGCAACAATAATCTATATGGCATAGTAGGAAAAGGGGAGAACAAGTAACACTAATTAAAAATCATGTTCTGCTATGGACTCTCAATAGCTTCCAGTATTACTCTAGGAAAAGGAAAAGCCAGATATATGACATAAGCATTAAGAGCAACCTTTCTGCCAGAAACAAAGTGATATACTGTAGATGTCTTGGTAACATATTAAGAGCAGTTTTACCATTCTGGGGAAAATCCTGAATTGTGTTGCTTAAAAGTAAACTTACTGATATGGAGAACCTATGGGCCTTTAGAACTGTTGGACTTCAACTTCCAATCAAGGATGATGGGAGGTATAATCCCAAAACATCTGGCTACAGGTTGTCTACCCCTGCTCTATGTCACCAAAAGCCCGGGGCAGAGTATGCACAGACTCAAATGCGCAACCAACCATGTTCTGATGCTGAGATATCAAGACCCTCCAAGAAATTCTACATCACCACCACTGACCTTTTGGGACCCATTATGGGGTATCCCTTTGTGCAGCTTGTTCAAGGAATTTGGGCGGATCGTTGGTGGGAAGGTCCACATGGGTCCTTGATCCCTCTCATCAGCATCTCCATCACTAGAAACAGAGATGCAGAGACATCTTAATTCAAACTTTCTTACAATTAGTTAACTATCTTCTTCTTTCTCACTAGTGCATCAAAGACATATTTATCAGATATTCTGTTTCCTACAATCAGATTATGATGATTTATTTGATTCACATACCGCCCATCTAGCCAAAGCTACTCTAGGTGGTTCACAACATAGTTAAACAAAAGACAGTACTACAAGTAAAAATAAAATTAACATATACCGTAATTTTTCTGTTTATAAGACGACCCAGTGAGTAAAGCAGCCATGAAAGGGCAGCAGGATCAAAGGGGTATGAGCGTGTTGCCCTTTCATGGCTGCATTACCCCTTTGATCCTGCTGCCCTTTCACAGCTGTGTTACCCACTTCCTAAGCAACACAGCCATGAAAGGGCAGCACACTCGCACCCCTTTGATATTGCTGCCCTTTCATGGCTGCTTCAGGATCAAAGGGGTGTTATCCTGCTGCCTTTTCACGGCTTGGTTACCCACTTCCTAAGCCCCGTGAGGCTTAGGAAATGGGTAACGCAGCTGTGAAAGGATAGCACGCTCATAACCCTTTGATCCTGCTGCCCTTTCACGGCTGCTCTAGCCACTTCCTAAGCGGTTGTCTTCCATGTATAAAACGACCCTTAATCTTTTGTCTAATTATTTAAGTAAAATGTGTTGTTTTATACACGGAAAAATACGGTAAACATCATAAAATAAAATAGGACTAATTTAGACTAGCTACATCAGATACCCAGGAAAAAAATCCCCACATATTCCACTCCTCTCAGTTATGGAAGCAACCAGGTTGCTAAATTATGATATTTGCCCTTCCCCAATAAACCACGTATTATTGTTGCTGTCGTTGTTGTCGTCATCATCATCTTTAAACAACCTGTTACAGGAGTTATTTGTCTACAGAAGAGTTTACGCTGTATAAAAGTTATTTTTAGTAGCAACTGATAAGTAGCATTAATTTACGAATGAAGATTAGGGGAAATGAGATGAAGATGACGAAAAGCAGGAAAAACACATACATGTCTGAGTCATCTGAGCTGGAATCTTCCCCATGTCCCTCTGACTTCCAGCGTTTGTACCGATCAATGAGTTCCATGAGAAATGATGTTTTCTTGGTGTAGCGTGTAATAAATTTGTGCTTTAGCAATTCTTTCGCAGTAGGCCTCTATATAAACACAGAAAATAAAGCAAGATATGTTATCTGCCAGAAGCAAAACAATAACAGCAACTATGGCTTTCTGAGGAGTCATTTTGAAAATGACAGAAGCCTGTTCTACCTGTTCCTGCTAACTCATATCTGAACGACAAGCAGTAAGAGTTTTTTCCAGCTGAGAGCTGCCAGATTTCTTGACCCTCAGGAAGTCTCTCTGACCCACTACTTGGGGGTTGACTTACAAGGAGAAACAGAAACATCACTTACAAATCTAGGGTCCTTGTTTAGGCAGGCTTCCACAAATTCCTTAAAGGGTTTACTGTGGTGTCCCTCTAGTGTTGGAGGGTTATTCTTGGGAATCAGAAAGAGAACTCTCATAGGATGCAGATCAGAATTCGGAGGCTCTCCTTTTGCCAGTTCAATTGCAGTTATACCAAGGGACCAAATATCAGCCTGGGAGGAAAGAAAAAAATCAAATAATATACATATACTCAGAACACTTATTTAGTCTAAACCATAGAGACAAGTATAACATGGGAAATAACTCTGATCCTCATTCTCAGGAAAAGAGAACTCGCTGAAAGACTCTTAGTCATTCACCTTACTATTCCATTTAGGTTTGGAAAATGCTTCCACTGACTCCAGTTATGACTTTTCTAGCCTAGTTGCAGTGTGAGGGAAGATAGTGGTGTGTGTGTGTCACAGCTGGGGAGGGGGAGGTAATCCTCCCCAGCTGTGGTCTCCACAACTGCAGTTCTGTGCTGCAACTAAGAATGGAAAAAATATTCACTGGCTTCAAATGTTGTAAGGGTGGTCATGGGGCCTTTCAGGCTGCATCCAGTTCAGTGTTTTCCCACTCATGATTTAAAGAGGTGATAATTACTGATTGCTTTCTTATGTGTTGAAAATTAGTAGGTTTTACCAAAGCTCAGGATTTTTCTTACATTTGGCAGCACAAATGTAATTTTAAAAAAATTTTAAGGCCACACTCTTACATTTCCATGCATGTGAAACCTGGAGAATTGAGAAGGCTGACAGGAAAAAAAAATGATTAATCCGAAGAAAGACAAGCAAGTGGGTCCTTGATCAAATCAAGTCTGAACTATCTCTGGCGGCAAACATGTTGAAACTGAGACTGCCCCACTTTGGACACATCATGAGAAGAAAAGATACCCTGGAAAAGACAATAATGCTGGGAAAGGTGGAAGGCAGCACGAAAATAGGAAGACCAAACAGGAGATGAACTTGAGGCTTGAGTCTGCAAGAGTTGAGCAGGACGGCTGAGGATAGGACATTCTAGAGAGTGCTCATTCATCGGGTAGCCATGAGATGGAGGTGATCTGATGGGCCATAACAACAAAGTTATGGAATGTTTTGGCTTTTTTCAGAAACTCGCGTTTCTGAAAAACGTTCCTCTTGGTCAGCAATCTCAAGGTGATACTACTTGGCATAATTTGAGGAAGTCATGAGTTAAAATGAATTGAGGGTGAATGGAATCAAGGGCAGAAAGAAAAAGATGCTTCCTTTGTCCACTGCCTTTCACCTCATAAGCAAAGTGCGATTTTTCATTCTCAGAACTGTAAAAATCCTAGTTTTGCTATTCTTGTTTTGTGCTGACAAATTGCAACTCTGCAAGAGTGTGATCAGATGGTAATAAAGGATCACATCTCATTGTGTGAGAAAGGGGTGCTTTGCTGAGAACAATCACCCTCAAAGGGATCCTTTTGTCTGTAAAGCAACTGGTCCAGCCTGGATACAAAACAGAGCAGCCCAACTGCTAGAACACAAAAGTCCATCTTGAGCATGGCGCAGGGTCAGGCTGATTCGTGATCCCCTGTACATCATCTGATCACCAGAGAGCAGCTTATACCAAACCATGCCACAAGTGGTCCAAAACACAAGGTGTATCTCCATCTGATCATACCCTGGATTAACTTCCAGAAGGCCTTACCAGTGAACACCCCTGCTCAAATCTTGCAACAAAAGGTTGCCACTTTTTTTATTGAGTGAATCTCACATTAAGTCTTCCGTTTCTCCTAGTCTTGTTGTCTTTTCCATAACATGGAACATCGTAATATGTCCAAAATCCAATAGCCTCAGTTTAATCATCTGATATAATGGTTCTTAACCTTTTTTTACCACAGATCCCCTTGAAATACCTTTTATTGCTGCAGACCAACAAGACTCGACTCAAGATTTAAAACCCTAAAGTGCATCAAATATTTATTTAAAGTTTAAAGTTGTTTATTTTTAATAGAGGGAGTGGGTTAGAAAAGCCAAGTTTTACACAAGCAAGGGAAATTAAGATTTTGTTCTATGTTTCCTTTTCTTGCTTTCATTGACTATTTCTTTTCTAACTGCAAAAGATCAAAACATTTCTTCAAACCTTCATGGCCCCCCTGTGAGGACATCACAGCCCCCCGGGGATCCACAAACCGCAGGTTACAAACCTAGGGTCTGATGGAAAGTGGTAGAGGAAAATATCTCAATGCTCAAGGGCACTGACAGGGAAAATTCTTGGGAGTTCAGAAGAAGCATTTTCCATCTGTGATTAAAAGGGAGGGCATATACATTTATAAACATGAACACAGATTGAGCATGTGACTCATAGGATCAAAATCACACACATGTTTACAATAGATAAAAGAGGGCACAGCTGCTAACCTTGAAGAATGAGGGGGCATACAGATAGATGTACTAATCAGGGCTGGATACATTGGGCATGTATATATCCCATGAAAATTCAAAGGAAAAAGGTTGGTTCACCTCAGCCATGGACACCTGTCTGCACCCCCTTTATTTGTTCTAACACAGGATGCTCATCTTTTGGGATAATGTGATATGCATTCTAATCAAGAAGCTGAGGATTTCTAAGCTTTTGCCTGCTTTTCTTGGCTCACCTTGAAATCATAGGCTGACTGTTTGATGACTTCGGGTGCCATCCAAAAAGGAGTCCCAACAAAGGTGTTTCTCTTTATTTGAGTGTCTGTCAGTTGGCCAGCAACACCAAAGTCAGCTAGTTTTACATCTCCTTGTTCTGAAAGTAGCACATTGGCAGCTGTTCATACAAAAAAAGAGAAAATTTTGAAGCAAAAGAAGTATACCATACCCTCCCTAACAATAAAAAGCAACATCTTTCCGAAGCTATGATAAACACTTTCTGTGTTCTTTCATAGACTGGTAGTGGAGAAGTTAAGAACAATGTTTTAAAAGCTTCACAGATTTATGCAAAAATAACTGAAAGCTGGCTTAGTCCTCTATCTCATCTCTCATCCATTCTCTTACACCAGGAGTGGGCAACTAGTAAGACTCATGCTGGCATCACTTGAGCCCATCCTTTGCCATCAAACTTGCTTCAGCGGTAGCAAAACAAAATTGGTATTTTACCTTTAAAAGCCTTTTTTCCCCTTAAAACAATGCACAAAGCTCACCATGCATTTTGGTTGCCAATAGAATTTTGATTTCAGAATGCTTCCAGGAATGTGAATCTATTTATAAACAAGGCACAGTGATAGCAAGTGACCACTGAGGAGCACTAAAGGAGGTAGAGACACATGTGCACCATGGGCCCTGTATGACCCAGCCCTCCTTAACAATAATCAGGTTGCCTTCTCTAAATTTCCATATTGTCTTTAACTCATTTAGTTCTCCTTCCCCGGTCTCCTCTCTCAAATCACCTTGGGAATGGCACTGCAAGAATATGGACGACTGAACCAGATTTCTGTTTGGTTTCAATGCACTTATAAAAGGATCATGATCCAAAAGAAGTGTAAAGAATATTGTAATTATGCACACTATGTGCACACACACTATAGGTCTCAGGAAAAGCTGTGAAGAATTCAAACCTGTCAACTAAGGACACTGTCTATGAAGCAAAATTGTTTCAGCAGGACTTACTGCTACAGTGGTGCCTCGCTTAGCGATTGCCTCATTTAATGATGTATGCGCTTAGCAATGAGGTTTTAGGAGAGATCTTGCGCTCCGTTTAACAATGTTTCCAATGGGGGAATTTCGCATAGCGATGTTCGGGACCATGCTTCGCTTAGCGATGACAGTTTAGGTCCCCCTGTTTTTGACAGCTCCGTTTTCGCTATTTTTAAAAGGTGTTAAATTGTTTAAAAAAGGTTTAGAGTGCTTGAAATCGTTAGTGCACTTAATAAACCCTTTGTTAACCAAATTTGGCTTCGTTCTGACTCTTTTTGAATTTTTGGTGGTTTTTTTCTCCCCCATTGAAATGCATTGAAAAGGTTTCAATGCATTCCAATGGAGGAACCGCGTTTCGCTTATGGCAATTTTCGCTTAAGGATGGTAATCCGTTCCCATTGGAACTGATTATCCGGTTTTCAATGCATCTCTATGGGAAAACGCGTTTCGCTTAGCGATGTTTTCCCATAGCATTGTTTTTTCCGGAATCAATTAAAATCGTTAAGCAAGGCACCACTGTATAAGGGTTTTCCAGTGGGTTAGCTGTTTTAATCTGCTGTAACAAAAACAAGAATCTTTTGTTACCTTAAAAACAAAGGAGTTATTATCATGTATGAACTTTTGTAGACTGTAGCCCGCTTATTAGATACAATAGCTGCATTTGAAGAAATGGGCTATAGTCTATAAAAACATACATGTAAATAAGTCTTTAGTGTGCCACATAATTCCTTGCTGTTTTTATAGGAAGTAAATTCAAAATTGTGACATCATGCTAATTCAAAGTAATTTTATATACATCATTTTGATGTTGGTTCAAATGCCCTTACAGATTTCACAACTTGAGCAGCCACATTCATGGTTAGCAAGCAGTGCCTATGACTTCTGCAGAATAACAACATTCGATTATCTTATCTGACAAGTGGAAATCAAGATTCTTCTGTTCAGTACTCATCTGGCAGACAACTGGCTTCACTGAAGCGTCTTCCCCACTTTCACAAACAAATTTCTCTCTTTAAAAACAACAGCAACAACACCTGAGTATTCTTCAGACTAATCTGATGAATGCAGAGATTCGCAACAGAGTCCAAGCTCCTTAATTTAAAGGAAGTTCACAGAAAGACTGGTGTTTGAGACAGATTTGCTTTTCCTAAGGATATCAATGCACAGCAAATGGCAGTTATGGCTTCAGTGATCTCCAGAGAGAACTGCCGAGAAAGGAACACAGCTGTTTATTTTGCAAACCTGACCTTTGATATCTCTGTGGATTTTCCTTTCAGAATGAAGATAGTCCAAACCCTTTAGAATTTCTCGCAGGATGGTGGCAATGTAGGTCTCCTCCAAGGGGCCAGGCTTCAGCTGAAAGAAAGGGGAAGAAATATGGCTGATGTGACTGTGGGAATTACAAGATTTATAAGAAAAGCTGTCCTGTTTCCTCTTTTAAAAAAACAAAACAAAACAAAAAATAACTAGAATGAGGATTGAAGGAAAGGAGATATGAAAGAGGAGTAATGCAAGAGGAGTCAGTTATATCTCTATGTACATATAAAGAAGTGACTGTGCCATATTTAAATTCCAGCTACTAAATGGTATTGAGATCTTTATTTATGAGTCACTTGGCCCAAAATTATGCTATTGTGAAATACAAGGAATCTGCAAAGTGTTAGGATTTGTGATTGCATCTCATGGAACCAATGCTGGAATCAGACCCTTGAATCCAATGTACAAAGCTGAATACAGAGAATAAGGAAGAAATCAAGATACTTACTAGATCCAATGCTGAGCCACCTCCCAAGTATTCCATGATTATCCAGAGTTTTGTGCCCTGTAAATTAGACATAGAAATATGAGAGCTAAACAAGTTGCTTTAAGATGCAGTTAATTCCAAGACCACCTATGTTTGCCTTAGAGGAGGCAAGAGTAACATGTACATCCCTCAGCCCATAGCTTTAGTACAGCTTCCAACGACCAGAATAATACTTGGATGGATATTAACATCAAGTACCACATTTTTGTGGAGGACTTTCGATATTCCTAGTTCTAGACTGATTGCAGCTGACTGTGGTAAAGTCACATGCTTGAGAGTTTGATTCTTATTTTAAAACAAAAATAATACAACATACGAAACAACAGCATAGCAGAGCAGAGGTTTCTACCTTGGTTTTCTCCCTTGCGTTGTTACTTACATATAAAGAAATCCTTTATAGAAAAAAAAAGATAGGAAGCCCTACATATTGACTGAAAATCTAGCAAGAGCTAGGCCATGTGTCCCTTCTAGTTCTGTAACTTGCTTGTTAAGTAGAGGCCAAAATCCTGTTAAGTAGTTACATCTGTGAAAAGCAAACTGTATAACCAACAGCAGCTTTTTCCTGGCAATTAAGGAGTCCCTGCTTGGAGATTTGGGCATGGGCCAACCCCTCAGATCAGCAGGCATCTGAAAATTGAAGTGAGGACTAGTAGATTAAGCAGCAGTTAAACACTATAAGTTACTTTGTTGTCCACATGTGTAACTATGCAACAGGATTTTAGCTATTAGTATTTTTACACAGTAGAATCCACAACGTTTATGAAAGTGCTGTACTTGAGAGCCAGGCACCTCTGGAGAATATGGCACTAGCACCAAGTTGTTATGAAGCAATATAGTGGATAGTATTAAGCAAAAGAAAGTGGATTTGAAGTGCAACCTTTAAGCAATGCTTTATGCATCTGCCTTTTCTAATAAGCTCTATCATACTTCATCAAGTACCAACTTTTGGGCACTGCATCATAATATCAAGCAAGGAAGAAAATAGGAAGACCAAACTCCATGGTTATGCAACATCAAGTTTCAGACCAGAAACCCAAAAGCTGCAGATTCAGTAAATGAAAGCTTGAGAAAGCCTGGTTTGGAATTAATACAGGAGGGAAGACAGCACATTGCACACTTTTTTTATTTCCTCTGCTATGCACCTTGAGCTCTACTTAGATAAGCAGAAAAATATTTAAAACATCATGCACTTTAATGTTTGTTGTATTGCTTGTGTTTATTTTATTTAAACATAATTAAAGGTACAAAGACTGCAGTCCTCTAACGTGCTTGCTGCTCTTTACCTAATGGTACAATTAAGTATTTGCTGCAAAATGCAACAAGAACAGAAACCTAGGAAATGGAGCTCATCTGTTAAGAGGAATCTGTCACTGTGCTCAGAGACTGCAATGTGATTTATATCTGGTGATTGTTCCATTTTTGGTTACCAAATAATATTTTCTGGCACAACCATTGTTAAACGAAAGATACACAAAGAAAAATGAAAAACCCTGTCATGTAACAAATCCCATATTTACCCATTTCAGTTCACAATCTGCTGTAACACTTATTAAATAACTTTTGCCCCAAGCGTTGCCATCCAGGCTATTATTGCAGCTTTCGTTACCTTCAAGTAAGAACCATAATAACGGGTGATGTAGGGGCTGTCACACTGACTGAGCACTGTGATCTCCTGCTGGATGTCTTCAATCTCATCCTCAGCCTCCTCAAGGTCAATGATCTTGATAGCTACCACCTCCTTAGAGCGGTTGTCGATTCCTTTGTAAACCTCTCCAAAGGACCCTTTGCCAATCCTCTCTAGCTTAGTGAAGAGTTCCTCTGGATCAACCCTGGAGTGCTGAGTCAGCAGAAGTAAAGAGGAAACAGGAAAGAGACAAACGAGCCATCGTAAAAATCTGCAGGGTTCCTCATAATCAGTACAGTGCTTCATTTTCTGTTAAAACTATCCCAGCACCTCAGATTGTAAAAACACACCCTGATCCTATCTGAGAAAGTATGGAAAACTTTGACCTTCACAATGGTTTGACTACAATTCGCAAAACGCCGTACAACTGGCCAACTCTATGATTTTTCCTTGCGTTTTTATATATATATATATTATTACATATTTTCAGGTCTGTTTTAGCTCTTGGTGACCCTTCCCACATAGTATTCACTTATTTGGGCTATGGGGCTTTTCTTCAGGTCTGAGAGTTCTGACAGAATATGTGCCCATGGTGTCATTGTGGCCAGAAGCTCTGTCAACTAAGATGAGGTACTTCCTAAAAGAACTGGCTCATCATGGGATCCAAAAGAATGGATGGTTATGCCAAGTCCATATTTTCCTCTCTCATACTGTGAAGTGGATGCGAAAGAGAGTAACTAGCTCAAGGTCACCAATGAGTTTTGCAGCTCAGTGCCATCTGGAATGTGGATCTCTCAGGTCCCAGTCCAACACTCTGAATCATTACACCACCCTGGCTCTTCCTTTTCTTATCATCATAAAGGATAATAAGATTAGTAGCAGGAATATAAGAAAGCTAAAAAAATTATAGCTCTTTCCATAACATCTCTTTCTTTCTCACACACAAATATACTACCTTCCCTTAGCTGCCTACATGAAGAGAAGTGGAAGGAGCTGCATTCCATCTGATTGTAAGAGTAGAAAACCCACTTCACAGTGGCAATTATATGGACCTGGGTTGTGGATTTCTGTTTCTCTTGGGCTCCCACAACACCTAAACTAGCAGGAAAATGAGAGCACCATGGTTAACATCATGGTATGTCTATGCCAGCATTTCTTTCTTGCTGCCTCACTACCAGAATAAAATGTTGCAAACCATGCCTGGGAGTTAAACTACTCAGAAGATAACAAATCTTAAAACACCAAGCAGAAGAGTTGCAAACCTACACTAAAAATGCAGATAAGCTTTCCTGGATTATTAATACTGATATAACTTTTCTTGGTGGAGCAGACATTTTTAAAACCATACATTGTACACATCCATTTTTAAAGAAGCTTTTTGTGCCTGGTACATATATTGTTGTACAAACCCATGGTATAAACTCACCTATAAACTTATCACCAAGAGCCACGCCTGTTTCAGTTCCTGCTGCACCTAAGATTTTAATCTGGAGCAGAGGCAACTGTTTCTTATCATGAATAATTAAATTGATAAGATAGCATTAAGAAACCTTTGGACAGGGTGCAACAGATAAACATTCTCCCATGCTGTTGCAAGGACTGTACACGTCCCTGAATAGCTGGCCTCACACTTGAGCTGTGCACTACACAGAAAAGAGCACCAAACCATGCCAAGACTTCCCCAGCAGCACCACATGTTATGAACGAATCTGTATCTTGGAAATGGATACTGGGAGGACTCCCAGAATCCTCTAGAAAACATGGTCAGTAGCCATGCTTCTCCAACATCTGATTGGAAAATTCAGAAAATAAGAGGCAAGAGACAGAGGAGGAAAAGCAGCAGAGATCACTGAGAATAAAAATTGAAGAAAGGAAATAATTCAACTTTTCATATATCTGAGAAAATATAACAGCAGAATCTAAGGGAAACATGACAATATATGAAAAATTAGCATACTCTGCACATGAAGAACAAACAAGAAAGGTCAAACTTTGCATACAAAACACAAAAGAATGGCACAAAAGAAACGCAAAATGCCGAACCACTGCAGAAGAATTACTTTATGGGTTACCATATTTGGATTTTTCACCGGAGGAAACAGAATTGTGCAAATACTCAAACATTAAATAAAAACGGGAGGTATCTTTTTAATATTTCTGAAAATTATATTGCACCCATGAAGTGGATAGATTTCAATTCTTAACTAGCAGGAAAAGCTCAGTGAGTTAGGTGAGACAGAAGATGGAGTTCAATTCCCCACTGTGCCTCCCAGAAGAAAAGTCAGCCTGTGTAGCTTTGGGTGGCCAGCACAGTCTCAGGGTGCTCCCAGAAGGAGGGAATAGTAAACCACTTCTTACTACTCTTTACTTAGAAAATCCTAGAAATGTTCAGGATCAACTTGATACAACACAATTATTATTAAGTTCCCAGAACAGTGTAGTAAACAGAGTGATGGATTCAAGAGACATGGCTTTGACACGGCCATAGAAACTCAGTAGTGTGTGTGTGTATGGAACTGGTAAAACCATGCCTTCCATAACTCACTTACCTTGAAAGCCCTATTAGAGTCACTATGAGTCTATTTCAACTTGATAGCATAGAACGAAAAATACTTCTATTTAGGTGGGCTTTTGGCAACTGAGTGACTCCTGGGAAGTGGCTTTTCATGGACATATCATACTCCTTTCGTCATATGCTCTTAAAAGCTTTAAACTGAATTGTGTTTTAACATTATGATTTGCTTAACTACATTTTAATGTTATAATGTACTGTTTTCATTGTGGCCACTTTTAATCGTTGTGAGCTGCCCTGAGTCCCAGTTTTGGGAGAAAAGCAGGATAGTTTAATAATAAAATAATAAAAAAAATTTGAAACATGTGGAAATACATGAGTGCCATGACAACAGAGTAACTTGACCACTCTCCTGAAATCTGTTTATACAGAACAGTTATTATGCTGAGTAAAGCCGAAGAGAGAAGAATTCCAGTATAACTACATTCATCCCCCAATATCAGGTGCAGAAATAAAATCAGTATCTGATACATGTCAAATAAAGAATGTGTCTTGTTACCACAAGGACATAGGATGTTCATGGTAGATTTATTATCAAAAGAAGGTCAACGGTTGTTTCTTTTGTATCACAGCTTATTGTGTATACTGAACTAAAAAAAACAAAGCCCATCACCCTATTTTTTTTTGCAGCTGAGTCAGCTAAATTCTGTGCCCTCTGTGGATCATATAAAGACATCAAATGCACATGCATACATATGAATGTAGACACATACACTGCATATTTGTGTTTTAACCATAGTCTATTGCACTAAGAAACAGTACATACAACTAATGAAATAAATAACCAAAATAAATAGTGAAAAGCAAAGAGAAATCCTGCTCTTTTTCTAACTTCCGAGATTTCTTAGTTTAGTAACCTGTATGGACCAGGCTGGCAAAGAGATTTTCTGGCATTTCCACCTACCATATACTGCCATCACATCACACCTTTATAAAGAAAACAAACTCAGTTCAATGTAGGATGGATATTACACCCTTACAATTCTAATTTTAAAGAGCCAACCCATTTATTCCAAGGAAAATGCTGCTAGGAAGCTGGCCAGTCATCAAGTATGATGTCCTTAAGCAGGGAATGTATATATACTATGTGCACCTTGACCAAGTTCAAGAGTAAGGAAGAAAGCTCTGTTTCATTGGTTGCTTTAGTTTCATTTTGCTGGATTTACGAATAACCTCCTATTCTCACTTACCTGATTGGCAAATTCCCTCAGGTGAGCCATAGCTGAAGATTGGCACAACACCCATGCACTAGTCTTCTTATATAGCAATGAAAAGTGTTCTCTCTCTTCTATGGATTGTTTAAACTACATGAGGCGGGAAGAAAACAAAAAGCTCAGACATTACCTTAAGATTCCAATGAACCTGACACCATAACAGCACAAAGCTGAACAATAATTTGAAAAGCTAGCCCTACCATTTATGGGAAATAGATTCAGGCTTCTTACTTCCTAAATCCTTTTGCCTTCAACCCTGTGAAGTCCCAACCATTGTAGCCAATTGTCAGGGTCTAAATATCCGGAGAGTTGAAAAGGTGAGAATTCCAGATAACACCTTAAGGATGATGCAACTGGATAATCCAGGCCTGGTTGTAGTCACACTTGACACTGCTTCACCAGGTAATTGTAAAGAGGCCATACACTATTTTGGAGTCCCTGTAGGGCTAGCATGCCAAACATCATGCTTCTTAATTTTTACACCACAATGCCCATGCTGCACCCTTCAGCCATCACACACTAACACACAATTTTCACAGACAATTTATTGTAGGCCTTCTAGAGTGAAGACCACTTTGACCAGCAAGCTGGATGGACACCACACCTGTACTGTATAAGGAAAACAAACTCTGTTCAGTGGGAGATGGACTTGGGGAGCCCAATCCAAGCCAACCCTGTTCACTTGTAAGCCCAGTGTGTCAACCCCCAGTCCCCAAGCCTTGGAAAAAGACAAACATGGCAACACACAGCTGGCACGAGTGCAGTCCCTTCTCCGTGCATGACGGACTGCCCTTCTGGGCAGCGGCTCACAGGGATGAATGGCCGGGCAGGCGGGACCGCACAAAGAAAAGCGCCCGCAGAAGCCTCGTTCCCGAGCCGTTCCTACAAAGAGACGACAGGCCAAGCCAAAATGCATCGCTTACGGAGCCCCGGCACCGTCCAGACTGAAGGTGTGCTGCCCACAGGCGATGCCCGGGTGTCCGGGTTTCCCCCTGCCCCAGACATTACAGCTCCACCCAGCCTCTGGATACACCTGCCATGGCAACAGCGGCGGCGGCGGCGGCCAGCCTTGCTTCCAGCCACCCCGCCTTCTCCCCAGAACCGGGGACGCTCTGGGGTCCTTCGCCCCTCACCTGCACCCCGAGGCTCCGTCCCGCCCAGCTGCCCCATGCCCGCTCCTTGCGGACCAGCCAGCCCAGGACACTGAACTCGGTAACCGTAACTGCAGGGGAGGGGAAAGGGCGCCAACAGCCATGCGCGGCAATCCGCCTCACCGCCGGCTCTTCTGGGAAAGGTAGTTCTGGCCCTCCGTCTCTCTTTACGAAGTGGTCGGAGCCGGAGACTGTAATAACCATCATACATTCCGAGAAGGCGCGGCGGGCAGCTGTGAAAGCGAAGGCTTCTGGGAAAGCGAGTTCATGAGGCTTCGTTCTCAGCGCTTGGGAGAGGAAAGAAGGGCGACCTTATCCACAGATTGCGCGACCTTTCATTGCCCTACTTTCCTCTCTTCTAGCGGCCGGGATAAGGGACTCAGACTCCATGACAAAAATTCACGTGGTCTCTTATGCGAAAGAGGTTTAAGTGAAGAGGCCATAATCATCATTATTAATTTTCATTGTCCTCATTACCACTGTATTGTCCTCTGGCTGTTTCACCTTGCCTGCCTTCGATTAGGTTGCTAATTTATAGAGTCGCCCCAAACCGTAAGCAACGTGATGATACAGAACACTGCCACCACCTTAGATCAAATATGATATGCATCTATTTTGTAGGCTGGACGAGCCTTTTATACAAACATTCCATAACAAGACATAACATACAATCTTTATGAGGGTTTCTGAATGTCTGAGACACCCTTCCACAATCTTCTAGGGTGTTTTAGGACCACAAATTCCATTGCCTATAGTCACTGGTTATGACAGGTTGGGACTAGTGAGAGACGTAGCCCAAAACATATAAGTGACGCTCGGATAGGGACTTTGATCTAAGTCATGCCTTCGCATTTCAATGTTAAATGTTACCTGGGTATCTCCCTGTTATCTTGCATTTGTAGCAGATATTGGAGACAGTTCGCAGTCAAAATAAAAGCAAAATAAAATAACATAATAAAGACAACTTCTAAATATCTATAATTAAAACTAGGTCTGCCATGCCCTGAGTAGAAAGGATAATAAACAGCACAGTCCCATATCATCTATTCATAATTTTTCTTGGGGAAATGGGTACATATTTGCTACATAACAGATGAGGGCTTGGTTTGTAACATCAGGGAACAGAGATTACTGATTTTGTCTTACAAATGTGAGATCAAATTAGCCTTGGATATATTTAAACATTCCAAAATGGCTTCTGTCCTGAGAAATAGCTTTGTTCTCTCTTATTCCCTCAAGTTCTGTCAAGGAACCTGCTATATCCAAATATCAATTATAAAACAAAACTACAAAAATAATTCTAAGTATCATTCAAACAAATATACACCAAACACAATATACATTTGCTTCAAGGTAACTAATATTATTTTAAGTGGAATTTATTCTGAAGTAAGGGAGCAAGGAGATATGGGTATTTTGCTCACTGTTTATACTATGTTTTTCACTGTTTCCTTGAATATTTATACCAGCAACCACATGACATTATCATTAATTGCAAGTAGAGCCAGTCTTTTGGCATAAGTATGCAGTATATTTTGTTCAGCTGGCAAGGTTTTGTTTTGGGGTGTGGGTTTTCTTATATAGTTTCCAGTCATATTATTTTGCCTTGCTTTGGGGAGGTGCGATCACCTATATTGGTCCTTTACGATCATAGAATAATGTAGCTGGAAGGGGCCTATCAGACAATTGAGTCCAACTTTGGGGGCATTGTTGGATGTGTCTAGATGGCATTGCTTATGATGCACAGAGTGGTGGCTGATGTACCTTGCTCCTTTTGTCTGTCTTCTGCTTGCCCTGGTAAGGACTACAACTGTAATGCATTTTGTGAGTTTGCACACATACACACCTCCTAGTTTAGGGCGATAGCTGTAGCGCTAAACTAATGAAGCACCAATTCTAATGCTTACCTTATCTTGTCAGTTCAGTACTATTTCACCTGCTAAATGTTAAAAAAGAGGTGTGTGTGTGTTAATGCTTGCAAGAGATGTTGACAAGAGGATGATGATAGTGCCAGAGAAAGATGATGGAGAAGATGGGAGCTGTGTGATGAGTGAACATTTGAAATGCACCTTCCTGGGATAATTAAACATTTCTATGTGAACCAAGGCAGCGATTCAAATGCCAAGGTACAGTACAGAGAAGTTTGTAACAAAAGAGGCCAAACTTTGGTGCAGTCACAGAAGTGGACACAGCTTGCAATCCTAATCACATGCACTTGGGAGTCAACTCTGTTTTAAACGGAGTGTTTACATCCAAGTATGATGTAATAGTCAAAGGTTAATCCAATACTAGATCCAGTTTTAGCCACAGGTTAACTCAAGAAACAGGACTTCCCCACCTCACTTCTCCTTACAGTTGTCACTCTGGCCCCTGAAAATGTTACATAGAGTTCTGTGGATGCTCTGCTATAAGGGGTCAATTATGAGATGCGGGAAGGGAGAAGGAGAACTCCTTCAATATCACTAATAATGTTTCTTCTGTGACCTGAACCCCTTCCTTCATGGAAGGCAGATCCTGGACCTTTATTGTTTTAATTGTGTATAATATGTAAGGTTGTATATCCTACTGAATCAACCTGTAATTTACAGATGTTCCTGTACGCATATGAATTACACAGGCAATTTAGTGTGTGCATATAGCCTCAGAAGATAAAGCATCTCAGTTTGGTTTAGATAAAACTTTAAAGGAAATGTATGACTGCTTTGGCAGGCCTTGCTTGTTCTCAGTTTACAAAAGAGTATATGGTAGAACTTTGAACTTTGCTCAAGCAAAGATGAAAAAATGGATGAATATTCTCAGTGCTCAACATTACCTTGCAGGTAATATGACTGCATTTCTCTTTAACTGGACATTGCTTGTTAAGTACTTGTTGCATACTGCAGCAGAAGTTACCTGGTTCTCTATTTGAGTCTTACAAGAGGGTAGAGAGAAAAGTATACTCAAATTTTGCACTGCAGCTTATGGGGCAGGAATTGAGAAGTGGGTCCCTTCTTAAGCAGAGACACACTCTGCCATCCTGTAGCTTTGTGCTGACACTGACCTTTGATGAAGTCCAATGAAATCAACACCTTTCTAGATCCCATCATTCCATTCAGTGGTCCAGATGCTGGTGCTATGAGAAGGATGCAAGATGTGTATAAGTTACTATGCAGATAACATTGACCACATAAATATATGGATCTACTGTAGATGTGAACTACTGAAAAGGGACTAGCACAGATGTCATTTTTTAGGTGGCCATATATACCAACTTAAACGGGTGATCAGTCTTTGGTGGATCTTGAATTTAATTTTATTCTAATTACCGTATACTTCTGGAACATACTGAACACTTTATGATGCTGTGCAATATCTTTAGAAAACCCTTCTCATAATTCAGATGTTTATAGTATAGTTTTCTTGTTGATTAGTGAATCCTATGATCTCACATTGGGGCCTCATAATCACCACAAGAGGGCACACTAGTTACACACAATACAAAAGCAAGGGCGGGTGATACCTTTATTAGACCACTAACACTGTATGTACAGTACTAGTGGTCTAATACTGTATATAGAGGGGGTTAGCCAAGAATAACCTTTCAGATACTGGTGCACCCCACAACTTGCCAACCCTAGTAACGATAGCCAAGGGTGAGGAATGTTGGAAGTTGATGTCTGACAACATCTGGAGGCCCACGCTTTGCAGATAAGCCTACAGTCTCTTTGGTCTTTTATGGGCGAGTAAAAGTGGATCACAGCCAGATCTAAGGAGCATAGCAACATTGGTCTAAGGAGCATGCCAACTACCAATATACAGTACATTTGTTGTTTCGACTTAAATATCGCCCCATAGTACTAAGGTACTCTCTGGACAGTTTACAATTATGCAAATAATACTTTGTCCCTTAGCGAGCTGGGTACTAATTTTACTGACCTTAGAAGAATGGTAGGCTGAGTCAGTCTTGAACCAGGTACCTAAATCCATTGAGACTGAATTCAGGTCATGAGCAGAGAAACTACAGTACTTAAACATTGAGTCACAAGGCTCATTGTTATGTTTATATTTATATTCTTCCTCTCCTTCAATGAACTCTAAGCAGCATACAGAGGCTTTCTTACTACCCAAGTTTATCCTCACAACAGCCTGGTGTGGAAGATCACCCTGAGATGGTATAATTGGCCTAAGGTCATTCAGTTCCAAAGCCAGCTTGAGATTCAAACCCTTGATTCTGGCTCAAGAATCTAACAATTACAAGGCACTAGCTTACATGGCATGTGTATGTTATGTATGTTATGTATGTTATGTATGTATGTATGTATGTATGTATGTATGTATGTATGTATGTATGTATGTATGTATGTATGTATGTATGTATGTATGTATGTATGTACCTGTTTATCTCTGAGCCCATCCTGTAAACCCCAGACCTTTATACCTCTTTTGTAGTAGACACAGATGTCTCCAGTGTGGCTGTGAGGGACATGCATCTCTAAACCTCTGGGTCTTCTCCTATTCTGTACGTTACTACTCCCCAAAACTGATTACAGTTGAACTCAGCTGCAGCTTCTGAGACAAGGAGTCCTTGGTCATCAAGGTGGTCTTCAAGACCTGGCAGCACCTGCTTCAGGGGGCCTACCTAAGCATTCAAGATTTACATAGCACACTGCAATCTGGACCTTTGGTCTAGATGGGTGGGATAGAAATCCAATAAACAAACAAACAAATATGTATTCCGATCAAACATTAACTAGAAGGTTGCTTTTTTATTCTCCTTTGCTAGGGCAATGAAATGAATTGTTTTCAATGGGGAAGAGACAAGTTCTCATGAAAGAGAAATGAATACAGAGATTGTTGGAAGAGACAACAAGTATCAGAGAGGAAAAAGAAAAAACAAACAAACAAACAGAGACTCTCATGGCCTCAGAAAAGTTTCGTAGATGAGAGATTTCCAGACAATGGAAAGAAACTAGCCAGGAAAGAAAAAGAGCCCCGTTGCAAAGATGCAGAAGTGGGACAAAAGGTAAAGTGAATTGATGACAACAAATGAGCTTTTTGCCAAGTCTAGAGTCTCTATCAGTATGTTGTTATTGTTTTTAAATCCAAAAACCTGCCATGCAGAATCAAGAAATCTGTGTCAATTGTTATCTACATTTATCTTAAGCAGTT